TATGTAAAGATATTTGGATTTTGCAATCATGTTGAAAGGAAGTTTATAGTAAAACCTTATATCAATCAGTGCCATGCGTGATATATGCATAGGCTATCATGTATCTTTTGATACATGACTGATGATGCAGATTTTTTCCCACAGAAGGTTGCCATTTCTTTCTGCAGTAGAACAGTTGCCATCCAAGATTATAGAACCTGGTCTGTACTACTATTTACCCATAGCTGGGGGAGGGAAGAAGAGGATTCATACTTTTCCCAAGGGTATTAGCATGTAAGTGAATATAATGGATTTGAGTGGAATTTGAACTTGGCTCTTCGATTTCTCAATCCAAGCCACTTATAGTGATTATATTAAGCTCAGAAGGTACAAAAGAAAATAAACCTTATCTCTCCTACAAAGTCATTTTAAATATATACTATGTAAGCAGTGGTGGCACCCTACCAGTTTGTACAAACTGATTCTTAAAATTATAAATAACTACTGAACTGGTTGTTGGATTATCTGAAAATAATCTTATATATTAATAGCTAAAATATAATTAATACTATTTCTGTAAGTTCTGCAGAGGCTGAAAGAGGATTTTCTGTGATGAACACAATTTATTTTGACAAATGAAATTGTCTTGAAGTTAAAAATGTGTCAAATCTTTTAGTCATAAACTAGATAGGTCATCCATTGGATCTTTGGGAGTGCAGCAATTCAGTTCAAATGTGGTTAAGAAACCATAACACAGCTGATGACACTGGAGTCAAAAAGCATCCATACTTCTGAATATGATGAAAACAGAATTTCAATCTGGAAATATCTTAATAAATAAATGTGTTCTAATAAATTATAAAAATGGTTTAATTTTTTTTTGATACTGTAAAGTGATTTGTTTCCATTCTCAGATTGAAAAGAAAATAAGCAGAATAGGTTTCTAAAGATTACCTCTGAAAATGTGGAATGCCATTATTTCATGTTAAGTCAAAACATTTATTGACAATTACAAGCAAAAAAATGAATTAACCTTTTGAAGTCTTTGCTGAAGTAGATTCTTGACCATCAACCCACAGCTCTTACAATGAATATTTATACAATGGTAAATTCAAACTAAATGATCTAATGCCAATTTCCAATGATAAAATCATGTATTTTGCCAGCAATTAAACCTGTACATCTCCATTTTGCTACACTGTCTCTAGAATTTAATGGTCTACTTGTTTTCCTTTCACATACTTTGTTCTTATTTTTTATTTTTTGATAAATATATTTATCTTGTTTCTGGTCATAGTTCTTTTAGTTCATATTAGCTTATTGAATTCATTTCATTTAATATTAACTTTATTATGAAAGAACAATATACAGGGTGACCCAAAAAAATGGGAATTTTTGAAATGCATATTGCCAGACATGAGCAACTGGCAACACTATGAGACAGTTACCTTGAGGAAGTAAACATTTCGCCATTTAGAATTCAAGATGAAATTCACAGTATCCCAGCTGAGATGTTGCAGCAGTCAATGAGGAATCTCAACAGCAGATTTCAAGAATGCATTCGTAAAGGAGGATGCCATCTACAGGACATAATTTTTAAAAAAATGAAAATTCCATCATTGTTTCTTAAATGGCATGTTTTAAGGTTTCAATTACTATGAATAAAATATTTTTCTTTCATCACTCTTGGTTTTATTGGATTGTTAAAAAGTTCCCATTTTTTGGGGGTGACCCTATATCTTATTTCTTTTGATATTGTGCTGAAGATTATGTGAATAAACATCAAAATATTAGCAAAATCAATAACACTTTATTTGATATTCAAATATTGATTATACTTTCTGTAGTTACTTTCAGATTTTATGTATATTTGAATATGTACATGCACATTGGCAGATTGGTGTACATATGAGTCTTCTATATTTCTCATTTTGTTTTTAGATTTTAGTGACTAACAAAAATATCCCCTAAAATTCCTGCTGCTTTCTTTAGTTATACAGGTATATATGTATGCATATGTAAATGTATCTTTAACAAAATAAGCCAATTTCTGTACAAAAAAAATGCTACAAATACAGTACAAACCACATGTATTAAATTATGCAAATATGTTAGCTGAAAGCTAAAGATTAAAGCAGTAAGATGAATTTTAATTACAACCAAATAAGCTAACTCCTTTTGTTTCTGAAAGAAATATATACAAAACCAAACAAAAAAAATGGTTGAATGAAAAAGCAGTAAGCAAAGGAAGTAATAAAGTGAAAAAATTTGAGGGCCTCTCAGCTCCTGTCAGCCATATTGAATTTGATATCTTTTAATGCTCTTATTCAATTTGGCCAAAATCCAAAATCTATTTTTTCTTTTGTTCCCTTTGCCTCTACCCTCCTTTCCAACTTTTGTCCTTTGAGCCTAGTCTTGCACCAAGCTCTAATCAATGCAGATTTATTGGCAAAGGAAAAAACTGATATGACAAGCTGAAAAAAGTCAAAAGGTAAAATAAAAACAAATAAGACATCAGTAA